CATAACAGGCCATCCATTTTTGTAGCACACTTTTCAAAAACAATTATAACCTGGGCCCATCTTTCTAGAGCCTAGATCTGCTTACATAGCAGGAAGAATAAAGACACTGACTTTTATGTAGCCCAGCTAATCATGGAAGTGTGAAATTCTGTTTTTTTTCCTGAAAGCCTTCAGATAACTTGAGTTTAAAAACTTTTTTTTTTTCTTGGCAGAGTAATGTGAAATTAAACTGGGGAAAGATATTTAATACTAAGCTTTAAAAAGAAACTCGCTATCATTGCTATGCATCTTGATGCAAAGACTATGATGATAATAAAAGAAAGTACAGAAGACAAAAGAAAGAAAATATTAAGACTTTCCTGGGCAAACAAAAGCAGAGGCAGTTTGTCCCCACTAGCTTAGCCTTACAAGAAACGTTAATGGGAGTTCTTCATGTTGGAACAAAGGACAATGGCGCTGGGTAGCAACATAAAAACATATGAAAGCATTAATTTCACTGGTGTTATTGTTTGGATGTGAGGTGGCCCCCAAAAGCTCACATGTGAGACAATGCAAGAAGGTTCAGAGGAGAAGACTGGGTTGTGAGAGTCTTAACCAATCAGTGAATTAGGGATTAACTGAGCGATAATTGAAGTGGTAGGGTGTGACTGGAGGTGGGCATTGGGGGCGTGGCTTGGGGGTATATATTTGCATCTGGCAAGTGGAGACCTTTCTCTGCTTGCTGATCAACATGTGAGCTGCTTCCCTCTGCCATACTGTTCTGCCATAAACCCTGAGGAATGGAGTCTGCTGTCTATGGACTAGGACCTCTGAGACCGTGAGCCCTTAAATAAACTTTTCCTCCTCTATAGTTGTTCTGGTTTGGTCCTTTAGTCACAGCGGCAAAAAAGCTGGCGAAAACAACGGATAAAGATAAATATACAGACAAATACAGAATCATGTAATATTGTAATACAAGTATAAAAGTTAAAAGATGAAAGCAGGAGGGCTAACTATAACCACAAATGTTGGGGATAGATGCAATAAAAGAGGTACATATTGATATTAAGAACATAAAGTGATAAAGTAAAAGTGGAGTTTTTACATGCAATTAGAGCTATCAGCTTAAATTAGACTGTTACAGCATACAATTTGGTTGATACAAGATGAACAAGTACTAGAGAACTACTGTATAACAACATCATGCCTCCAGTTAACAATAAAATATTGTACACTAAAAAATTTGCTAAGAGGATAGATCTTATGTTAAGTTTTTTTTTTTTTTTTTGGTTTAGGAATTTAACCTTTATTTTTATTTATTTGTTTTTATGTGGTACTGAGGATCAAACCCAGGGCCTCACCCAAGCTAGGCAAGCACTTTACCACTGAGCTACAACTCCAGCCCCTGTTAAGTGTTTTTATCAAATAATAATAATAATGGTGACGATGATAATAATATAATGATAGAGTGTGGTAGGAAAATTTTACTGGTGATGGGCAGGTTCATGACATAGATGGTGATGGTGGTTTCATGATCTTTGAACTCATTATGTTGTATACATCAAATATACATAGCTTTCAGAAAGACAGTTATACCTCAATAAAGTAATTTAAAAACCCCAAACACAAAAAACAAGTCTGTAAACAAAACGAAACAAATAAGATCTTGATTCTGGGAACAAGATGGGGGCTATTGAGGTTGGAGAGGTGGTGATCTCCTGATTTCCAAACCTGGGAAGAGGAAAGTTTTGGAAATATTAAAATAGCCAACTTGATGTATGAAGGACAATTCTGGAACAGGTTGTTTTAACCAAGGTAATAAGTATACACGAGGAAAAGTACGGTCGCCTCTTGGCCATCCCACCTCTGCACTCTGGACTGAGTTTGTGTAGACAGAGATGATGCAACAAAGCTGGTAATTAATTGGGTTGATGATGAGGGTAAGAAATTGATATCAAATAATTTATCTGCAGATCAAAGTTGATCCTAATATTTTCTTATCACTTCCAGCTCTCCCTATCCACCCCCCTGGCACCCCATTCCCACCAAATTAATTTACTGGGATGATGTCAATCCTATAGGATGTCCTTCACCATGGAGATCTGCACAGTCTGGGGGTGGGAGAAGGCTGCAAGAAAACAAAACTTAACTGATTTTAGCCAATCTCACATTCCTGTCAGGCTTTGCCACATCCGACTCGGCTGGTAGAAGACTCCCGGAAAAGAGAAGATGAAAAGAAGTTTACAGAGTCATGTATGGTGCTGAGGATCAATGAAGTGATTATCTATCTATCTATCTATCTATCTATCTATCTATCTATCTATCTATCTATCTATCTATCATTCTGTCTGATCATGTTATCTCTCAGTCTATCCAGTGGACTTCTAGCATGCACACAGTGGAGTGAGGGTCTCTAAAGGTTTTCACTACAAGGCAGAATGCCTGTCTTCCCTGGGAAATGTTAAGAGTCATCTGCTCTGACCTTGGTTTGTATGGTGGAGAACACTGGGGACCAGTGAGGATAGGGGACTCGTACGAGGCTGCACAAGTCAGCAAAGCCAGGAAAGCACTGGTGACACTTAGCTTTTGCACTTGTCTCACTGTATTACTGCCTTTTTTGGTTGTGAGGACAAGTGTAACCCACAAGTGAGCCTGGGGCCTCCTTGGTCCCTCCTTCTCTCAATGTCAAATTCAATCTGTGAAGAATTCTCTTTGGCCCTTGCTTCAACTTCTGCTCACGGCCGATCACTTCTCACAGGGCTTCCTCCTGGCAGGAGCCTCCCCCATCTCCTCAGACCCAGATCTTCACAGCCCTCTCCCTCCTCTCTCTGCTGCCTCACCCACCGTCTGCTTCATGGCGGCCATCATAGTGGTCTTGTTAGCATGTCAGGTCATGTCACTTCTCTGTACAAAACTCTCTGAAGTTCTACCCGGCTCTCTGTGGGAGCAGATGTCCCCACAATGGCATGCTGGCCCTTCACGATCCCGGTGGAGCTACCCCACTTGGTATCTCTCTGGTCTCTCCCTCATTCTTGCTGTACAAGCCACACCAGCCTCCTTTCCTTGGTCCATGTGGCTTATCCCTTTCACCTCCCCAAAACCTTTCCCAAATATCACCTTCTCAGTAAGGCCACCTCTGACCACCCTGTTGAAAGTATGCTCTCTCTCCCTTTTAGCCTTTCTGGTTACTCTTGTTTCTTTCTGGTTTCCATGGAATTTATTGCCTGAAAAAGGAAACTAACAGAAACTAACTAACTGAGACCAACCCTGCAGAGCCTGGATATTGAATGCTGGTTTCCACGTTGCTGTCCTTGGTTAGCATGTCCGCTGTGAGGGAGCTGCTCATATTTGGACACACCTCTTCCCCACTGGTTGAGGTTATTGTGGAAGCTGTACTTCTGTGGAAGGTGAGGGGCAAGGCAGTGGCCAGGGAATGAATGGGTGTTTCCTTCAGAGTTGGGTTTATAGGGCATCTCCCAGCCCTTCTCTGGTGACTTGGGTCCCCCAAGGGGCCCTCTCCTGTAGACTCACAAACAAGGCCTTCATCTCAGACTGGTGCTCCCTATGGCTCTCTCTGGATCCATCCTACATTCTGTGATTCTGTCTTCTTTGTCCTCTTCCTGGGAGGGGTGTGTATGTATGTTTGTGTGGAGAGAGAGGGAGAGAGAGAGAGAGAGAGAGATACAGACAGACAGAACCCCATTCTCTCCTGTTGTATTCGGTTCTTTTCTTGTGCACCGCTGCCTCCTCCCTGAGGGGGAGTCCAGAAGATTACTCTTCACTCCTGTTTCCTGCACAGAGAGCTTTCCCCATCAACCTGGGGGCTGCAGGTTTGGCCTGACTGTGGACAGGGCTGTACTGTGCCCTATGGAAAGGCAGGTGCTTTCCCCTGTTGCACCCCATTTCCATGCTGTCCTAGGTGCACTAAAGAAGGTGTCCTGTAAGATGGGGTGGGGGTCATGGATGGTAACCCCTGTCTTTGTGAGGGATCTCACGCACTCAATCGTTCCCTCCAGGGATCAGGTTTGCAACGTGGCTCTGCATCCCAGCCTGTTCTCCTGCCAAAGCTTATCATCACTGAGGACTTGGCTGTGGTCTTGCCTCCTCTGTGACCCTCCAGCCAGCCTCAAGTGGCCCTCCTCAGAAAGCAAGGGCACGCCCTCTGTGCTCTGTCTCTGGTTCACCATCCCCCCGCCCCCGTTTCCCATGGATCTTTCCCACCTCTGCCGGGTCTCCCCAGTTCCTCAGGGGCCACCTCTGTCCTTGTGCTTTGCATTCCTCAGCACACAGGCTGGGATCTTGTTCTGGTTGACCTCAGCATTTGTCCCCCAAGGCAGCTGCTAATCTGGCCTATGGTGGAGCGTCCATTAGCAGTTGCAGATGAGCTAGAGCCATTGGCCACTCCTTCCTGTGTCAAGGCTGTTTGGTCAACTAGTGCTTCCTGAGGACCTGACTGTGCTCGTTGTTAGGAGGATAGGAAGGTAAATAGATATGCTTCTGGCCTTCGAGTGGCAAACTTGAAGTGGTATTCAGTGGCCACCCTGTGGGTGAGGGATGGCAAGGGAAGATATGAAGAGTTCCCACTTGTGCTGGCCTGGAAGGTCTCACTAAGGCCATGTGGGACCTTAATGGGTTATAGGACCCTTTAGTTCCAGGAAAGTGCTGGCTCCAGCCTCCACCTGCCTATGTGGGATGGGGACTCCTGGTCTAGTCACAGCATTGGAGGGAAACGAGGGGCTGGATGGATCTGTGTGGGCCCGTGGGGGTGAGAGGCAGGGGAAGGGCTTGTTGTCACTCAGGGTCTCCTCCGTGTGCCTATTAAAAGAGATGAGTTTCAGCAACCTCATGTTGCCTAGCGGGAGATTCCCACGCTCGTAAATGGCATTAATAACTTTCTCCTGCCTTTTATGTGGTCAGGAAGTCTGTCCTCTGCCCAATAAAAGGCAAGAGCAGTGACAGGGCTCTCTGTGAGGCCTTGTCATCCTTCACTCCTCTCCCTGTCTGTCCAGCACAGCAAAGGCATGGCAAGCCGCTCCTACCGCATCAGCTCGGGCCGCGGGGTGAGGAACTTCAGCTCCTCCTCTGCTGTGGTGCCCAAGCTGGGGGCTTACAGCTGTGTCAGTGCCATGGCCCACCGTGGGGGTGGTCCTGGGGGGCCGGGCTACAGACGCCTTGGGGCCTTTGGCAGCAGGAGCCTGTGTGTGGTGGGCTCCCCCAGGGTGGCAGTGAGTTGCCGATGGCCCAGTTTTGGCTACCGGGCAGGGGGTCTTTGTGGGCCCAGTCCCCCCAGTATTACCTCTGTGTCAGTCAACGAGAGCCTGCTCACGCCCCTCAACCTGGAGATCGACCCAAACGCGCAGTGCGTGAAGCACGAGGAGAAGGAGCAGATCAAGCACCTCAACAACAAGTTCGCTGCCTTCATTGACAAGGTGGGTGTCCTGGATCACAGGGTTCCTGAACAAGGGGTGTCTGTGAGCTCCTCCCTGGGGCTGCGGCTTAGGAAGGAGCTAAGTTTCAAGTAACTGATGAGGGGTTAGGTTCAAATTCTGCTACCAACTGGCTTTTGGCCTGGAAAACACAGCTAAATTGGGGTCTTGGTTTTCAAATGTTGTCATGAGAGTCAGGTCTAAGAATGGATGTGAAACCACTGGACTGAACGGAAGGTTTATTGCTGCTGCTCATGCTGCACAGCAAGCTGAGTGTGCATGGTGACCCCGTCTCCCCCTCAGCTTTTACCCAGTAGGTGGTGTGGGTGGGGCATGCAAGTGTCTTAGAGAAGATGCTGGATCTCCCTGGCATGGAGAGAGGACCTAGGACCAAGAGGGTTTTGTCTTGCTTCTTGTTGGGGTGCTCTGGTAGGAGGCTGCATTTGCCTGGAGGGCACATCTTTCCCTAATTGGCTCAAGGTACTGTGAGGGCCTGGCCATGCAGACTCAACAGGATGTTTGCGCGTGGTTTTCAGGACATAGCTCCTCAATGCTTTCCTCTGTCGAGAGGAGTCAGTTCCTGGTCTGGGGAGAGACTCACCACTGTCCCAGGCCAGTTTTCCCCTCATCTGGAGGTGCCGATAGATAGCTACTCCCTCCCTCCAGGGTCCTTTCTTTGGGCTCCAGATGGCTTTGGGCTCCAGACTACAAACAGCATAGATTTGATGGGTTTAATCCTGCAAAGCAGCAAGCCAGAGGGCTATCCATGGCCTTGACCTGCATGTTCAATCTCAAGGAAGATGCCCTTTGGATAATCAGGGTTTTGGGTCCTTTTCCACAAGCATAGACAATTGAGCATTCTTTGTACCAGGCTTATATTCCCAGATTGAGCTCCAGAGAAAATCACTTGGTTTGGGGCTGGCAATCACAAATTTAGGTGGGGGTGTGGCAGGTGGTGTGAATGAAGCCACACTGAGAGGTGTGCCTATCTGGGAAGGGGGTGGGGGAAGGTGGTGGACAGCTGCTACAAGACATCAGTCAGAGGCCTAGCATTGCCAGAGCCTCTGTTTGCAATAAGAATTGGAGAGAAGGAGGCCAAGTGGCCTGGTTGGTGGCCTAATTAGGCAGCTGGGTCCCCTAATTCCTGGGGCCCTCCCCCCTTCTGGGTTCCAGTGCCCCAGGATCAGATTGAGTGAGAGTTGTGGAGGGTGCATTTTTTTTTTTAAGAGAGAGAGAGAGAGAGAAAGAGAGAGAGAATTTTTTAAATATTTATTTTTAGTTTTTGGTGGACATACGTCTTTATTTTATTTTTATGTGGTACTGAGGATCGAACCCAGCGCCCCGCGCATGCCAGGTGAGCGCGCTACCGCTTGAGCCACATCCCCAGCCCAAGGGTGCATTTTTTAATTGCTGCTATATGAATGCCCACAAACTTAGTAGCTGAAAACATCACAAATTGACTTTCTCATGATGCTGACACCTGTGTGTCGCAGGGCTGCATTTCTTTCTGGAGGTCCTGGAGATTGTCCATTCCCAGGGCCATTTAGGCTTTTGGCAGAGTTGAGGTCCATGTGGTTGTAGGATTGGGATTGTGGTCCCTCGCTGGCTGGCTGCAGGGGTTCTTCTAGAGACTGTCTATAGCCCTTGGCTAGTGGACTCTTCTGCTCATAATAGTGGGTTGATGTCATCCTATGTTTCAAAGGTTTCTTTGTCTCCTCTGAGCATCTCTCTTGCTCTTCGGCCTTCCTCTTCTACTTTGAAGTGTCCCTATGACTACCTTTTGCCCAGCTGGAAAATCTAGGAAAATCTCCCAATCTTCAGGTCCATAACCTTAATTCCATAGGCAAAGTCCCCTTTGCCGTGTAACATAACACATTCACAGGTCTTGGGGACTAGGGAACAGACATCTTTGAAGGACCATTATTTGGTCTTGTGGTACAGAGTCTGCAGGATCAGATGCCATTTTGTTCTGTGCAGAATGAACAAATGATGGTCCATCATGAGCTCCTTCTGGGATGGGTGGAGGAAGTTACTTGGGGAATGATTATGACCTGAACGTCCAGACTTTGCCAATGAGCTGGTCTCCTTGGGAAGCTCATGGGCTTCTGCAGGGCAGGTGCTATCCCCAAGGGCTGAGAGCTCTGGGGGACATGGCGCCCTCCCTAGGCTCCCACCCTGAGTTTTTCCTCCACTCTGGGTGGCAGGTGCGTTTCTTGGAGCAGCAGAACAAGTTGCTGGAGACCAAGTGGCAATTCTACCAGAACCGCAAGTGCTGCCAGAGCAGTCTGGAGCTGCTGTTCGAGGGCTACATCGAGACCCTGAGGCGGGAGGCCGAGTATGTAGAGGCTGACAGTGGGAGGCTGGCCTCGGAGCTCAACCACGTGCAGGAGGCGCTGGAGGGCTACAAGAAGAAGTGAGCACGGGAGGGTTGGCACAGGTCCAGGGAGTGGAAGTAGGGTTTGGCTGAGGCCATGCAACTCTCCTGGAGACAGAGACTGCTGAAAGTCAGGTTCTGCTTTATCATACTGCTCTGTCTTGTCTCCACTCCCAGTGTTCACAGTCCCGTCCTGGAAACCAGGGAAAGATTTGGAGCAAAAAGAGCTTCTAGTCTAGGAGGGTTGGAATATACCACTCAGGACTCAGATTGGCATAGAGATGGAGGGAGAAGAACAAATGAAGGTGGAGGACCAAGGGCTCCCAGTAGGGCTGGAGAGCAGGACCTGGGAGAAGCCAGTCTAGCCTGGGTGGCAGGGAAAGGCCCTGGAAGAGGAAATCTTGAAAATGGTCTGGCTGTTGCTGCCCAAGTATCCGAGGGTCTTGGATGGGTCCTTTCTTTCTTTTATCAGATGTTGATGGACCTTTATTTTATTCATTTACTTATATGTGATGCCGAGAATCAAACCCAGTACCTCACACATGCTAGGCAAGTGCTCTGCCACTGAGCCACGACCCCAGCCCTGGTCCTTTCTTTACTCTGCAGATAAATCATCAAGCTCTCCTTACATCAGGCTCCACGATTCAAATGCCAGTGTCCATCTTTTGTTTGAGCCTGAATTATTGAGTTTGGCCATTATCTGTGCTAAGCTCACTGGGTCACTGTTAATCCACTCCACCCACCACTGCCCCACCACAGATCCAGACAGAGTGAATAGAGATTGTGACATGAATCCATCCTGGGAATTCTAATGCTAACCTTCCTTGGAATCATACCTTTTACCATCTAGAGGGACACAGCAGAGGGTCTTTACCTCCCTTGGGGTGAAGCAAATGCACATATAATTTTCAGTGGTCAGGTATCAAGGTCTGTCTCCCATTTGGGGCATGTGAGGACTGGTAATTACAGAGCTGAGAGTTTATTGCAGCCCAAATTTCCCTGTAATTAAAGAGTCGTGGAAATCAAGCTCTGGGAACTCTGCTTTCCTTGTTAGCTAGGGCCAGTCTCCTCCAGGGATGGGGCCTCACTGGCAAGGGGAAGGGGACCAGGCTGGTGGAGGAGGCTTGGAGAAATGCCCTAGACTGTGGATTGCCTCCAGGAATTCAAGTCTTGGGATACTGGGGTGGGTGGAGGAGGGGAAGACAGAACCTCATAGGGTGTAGCGTCAGAGAGTTTCATTGATGTTTTGAACAATTTCAGAGTTGAAAGACTTGAGGGAACGAACATCTGTGTGCCTTTCACTGATCACACAGATATTTACTGTGTGCCTTGCCGCACAGCAGATGACTTAAGCCAAGACGCAGAGATTCAGTGGTTTGCAGTGACTGTATTCCAAGCTGGGACCACAGTCCAGTGTCCTTTTGCAAATTCTTTTGTGTTTGGAAAATAGAGATTCAGAGAGACCAAGCCTCTTCTTCAAAGGTACACAGAAAGAGGGGGAAGACCAGGGCGTTTTGGGACCCTGGGCTCTGGCGGGCTGTCTTACAACCTGTGCCCTCTCCTCAGGTATGAAGAGGAACTGGCCCTCAGGGCCACAGCTGAGAATGAGTTTGTCCTGCTGAAGAAGGTGAGTAACTCTGACTTGTGGGGAAGAGCTCAATCTTGGATGCTTGAGATTTGGATACTGGGTTGTGTTCTCATCAATCCAAACCCCTGGCAAATGATGGTGGACTGGTTTGGCTGCAGAAGCCATTTTGGGCCCCCAGCAATACAGACAGTGCTGATGAGGCTTGAGAAAAAAAAATCTCATGATGTTGGTCTGTTTATAAGCAGCTTGATTATCTGAAATATTCACTTGTGAAGCCAAGGATGCAGCTCAGTGGTAGAGCACTTGCCTAATATGTGAGGTCATGGATTCAATCACCACACACACACACACACACACACACACACACACACAATCAAAATGTTCACTTTTACAGCTGTTTAAAGCACATGTGAGCATGGCCTCCTCCCATCATCCCAGATCCCAGGTTCTTAGCTTGCTAGTGATTTTGAAAGTATGACTGTCATTCAATGCCACCAGAGAGGATTAAAACAAAACAAAACAAAACACCCTAAACTCAACCCAACCCAAACCACAACAAAAAAACAACCCAGGAAAAAACTGCTCATGATTTCCTTTTTGTTTCAAATTGGTGAGTGAAATAATGTGCTTGCTGGGCATGTTGGCACACACCTGTAATCCCAACAACTCAGGAGGCTGGGACAGGTGCATTGCAAGTTTGAGGCCAGCCTCAGCAACTTAGTGAGGCCCTAAGCAATTTAGCGAGATCCTATCTCAAAACAGAAAGGAAAGGGGGCTAGGGATGTGGCTCAGTTGTTGAGCTCCCTAGGTTCATTCCCTGGTACCAAAAAAAAAAAAGAAAGAAAGAAAGAAAAGAAAAAAGAGAAATAATGTGCTTTTCAGTCACTTGATTTGTAAGTGATGGTGGAGTGGAGTGGAGGGCTGGTGACAAATCTGCCAGCTACAGTGTGACCTGGGTCTCAGGCAGGAGTGTCAGTTGTTGGGTGTGGGGTGTTGCCTGGCCTGGGCCCCTTTGCCTGCCTATGCTTGTGCTCTGAGGGCAGCTGGGTGGGGAGGCAGTGGCCTGCCATTCTGGGCTGTGAGGCCAGGCCTTGCTTTCAACAGGGTCCTCAGCCCAGGAGCGGGTCAGACTTCACTTCCTTCCTCCAAGTGGTTCCATGTTCATGCCATGGGAGGGAATGCAGTAGCTGATAAAAGAGAGAGGCCCTGAAGGGGAAGATGAAGAGTCCAGGTTGGAGGGAACACGCAGGCTGGAGCAGGGACAGGCCAGGCAGAGAGTGGGCTGGGAGATGGCCTCAGGCCCCAGAGAGTGCAGAAGCTCAGGGAACAGCGTGGTGGGTGTGCCCTCCCAGTCCTCTCTTGTCTGTCTCCACAGGACATAGACAGTGCCTATCTGTGCAAGGCAGACCTAGAGGCCAATGTGGAGCCGCTGAGGGAGGAGGCCATCTTCCTGAGGACCCTCTACGAGGAGGTAACATAAGGGCATTTGGGGTGTGTCCCCTCCTGGTTCCTGGGTCCTAGGAACATTCTTTACCTTCCTAGGGCCAGAACACCTTCCTTTCTGTGACCCCCAAGGGACTTTCTTCTTGTTTAGGCCTCCTCTCAGAATGGGTGATTCTCTTCCTTTAAAATGATTTGAGAGACTGTGATTCATTCCCTGTCCACTTGGCATGACTGGGAATGGAGATTTGACAATTAATTCCCTCCTCTGGGTAGTGTAAAAACCCAGTTAGATAATTCAGGATGTTAACTCTGGCTGTTACCTGATAGATTCCATTTGGACGGGTAGCTACAGCTGGTGTGAGGAGGTCAGGGCCAGCGGTGGAGAGATCAGTGGGTCTGCACACACAGAAATCTGTCTTTGGGGGTGCTAGTGGAAATCTGTCCAGGTGCTAGTGGAATTCTCCCTTGCTCACTGCCTGGGCTCATGGGCCTCTTCTTCTCAAAGCTACATTTCTAAAACGTCCTTTCTTGCTGGTAGTTTTCTAATTTCTTTCTTAAGGTCTGGAGATGGGGCTGATTGCCCACACAGATGGGATGGGAGGGGGTTTTGGAGTCAAGGGCACTGGTTGTCTCCCACAGGAAATCCTCATCCTTCAGTCACAAATCTCTGAAACCTCAGTGGTGGTGAAGATGGACAACAGCCGGGAGCTCAATATGGACACTGTCTTGGCTGAGATCAAGGCTCAGTATGATGATATTGCCAGCCGCAGCCGGGCTGAGGCCAAGTCCTGGTACCAAACCAAGGTAAACGGGAGGGCGAGGCTGCCCCTCTGAACCAGGAGGATGGCTGTGAACCTGGAGCTGCCTGGGACATGCACCCCTGCAGCTGAGGTCCCAGGCAGAGCAGGGCCAGGGGGTGGGACTGCTACAGAACCATGGGCTGGCTAGTAAGACTCTCGTGGTGACATCCCGCTGCGCCCTCCAGCCACTGTGTCTGTACATCTGCCTCCCAACCTGCAGTGCGAGGAGATGAAGGCCACAGTAACCCAGAAGAGTGAGAACCTCTGCAAAAGCAAGGACGAGTTCAACCAGCTGAACTGCAGCATCCAGAGGCTGACAGCAGAGGTGGAGAACGCCAAGCAGCAGGTCAGGGATGCGAGGGCCCTTGGGGCCTCAGCCACTCCTCTGGTTCTGTTTTCCTGCTCTCTTGGGGAATGCCACGGTCTTTGAAGAGGCTTGCATTCTAACTGTGCCAGAGAACTCATCCCCTCTCCTGTTGCCAGCACTTGCCATTGACTTCCCAGTGCTTATGGATTTGATAGATGTAAACAGCATCAATCTTTTATTTCTCTGGTTTTATGAGGGATAAGGAAATGTCCTCATGCACTTGCTGGTCATTTGTCTTTCCCCTCCTCAGGATTGCCTGGGTGTGCCAGTTGCCCGGTTTCCTACTGGGATTCCTGTCTTTCTCTTGGTGATTTGTAGCATTGCTGGTCCATTCTATCTAGATTGTAGCCCTTTGTCAGCTGAGTGTGTGTTGTGATCCATTGATCCTCTCTCAGTGCTCGTCTGTTTGCTTTGCTTAGGGTCCTTTCCTGAACAGAAACCTTCATCCTGGATGTGGCCAAATCTATCAGTTCTTCCCTTAGGGGCTTCTACTTAGAAAGTTTTGAGATAAACCATAGTGGCCTCTAATATTTTTGTCTTCTATTAAATTATAGTATTACCTCTCACATTAAATTCTTCAGTCCATTTGAAATTTATTTTTTGTCTATATAGTGAAGAGGGTTTCAAATTTAATCTTTCTACGTATAGTAAGAAAATAAATAATGCATTCTCTGTCCCCGATTGTGATACCACTTCTAATGGAATGCTGAGCTCACACGTAAACCTGGCTCAATTTCCATCCTTTCCCTCTTGTGTGGCTCTTCTCAACTACAGTTCAAGATGTATCACAAGTGACTTGTCACTAGTACTAGTTGAGCTAATGGCATGTGGGAACAGATTACTATGTAGAAACGAAACTGGAGAAGGTTTAAAGTCGTCCCCATCCTGATGTTGGTCTTGCTCATTTGCATCCCGATGGTCCCTCTCCGTGGGACAGAAGGTGAGGCTGGAGTCCAGCCTAAGGGCAGTAGCTGTTCTTTGGACTCACTGGGCCAAACAGTGAGATCCTGTATAGTGGCTTCTGAAAACCTGAGCTTGTCATTGCTTAATTGGGTAGCCTAGGACAAATCACAGCCTCTCTGACTCTCAATTTCTTCATCTGCCTAATGGGAATAATCATGCCTGTTCTGACAAGTCCACAGAATCACTTTGAAGGTCAAATAAGATAATATCTGTGAAAATGCCTTGTAAACTAACATTGGTGTTCAAATCTATGGTAATATCACTAATGATTATCTGCGCTATTCCGTTGTTAACATTTCCTCCCTCTAATGGTTGGCTTGTAAAACTCAACTGGGTTATACAATAAAGTGGTACAAAAATGAAGGGAAATAAACTCCAAATGAGCTATTCTTTTTTCTGCCCAGTGAATTTTCCATCCATCCATTCCTTTTAGAAAGCATCAAGTTCAGAAGTTGACCATTTTAAATGGAGGCAAATAGGATGACCAAGGCCACTGGAGAATTACCAAGGACTCCACGGTCTGCGTGCCCTTTGCAAACTCTTTATCTCCTCTTTTTCCCCACAGTGTTGCAAACTCGAGGCTGCCATAGCCGAGGCAGAGCAGCAGGGCGAGGCGGCCCTGAGCGACGCCCGCTGCAAGCTGGCTGAGCTGGAGGGCGCCCTGCAGAAGGCCAAGCAGGACATGGCCTGCCTGCTCAAGGATTACCAGGAGGTGATGAACTCCAAGCTGGGCCTGGACATCGAGATCGCCACCTACAGGCGCCTGCTGGAGGGCGAGGAAAACCGGTGAGGGCTGCGGGGGGGTCTGAGGTCCCTTCACATCCTCACTCAGGGCTGGAATGGTGCCTCCCAGGACTGGAATTCTCCAGGCAGAGAATGTTCAAACTGGGATCAGCTCAAACTGATCATTGAGTTTATCCATTTTCCCATTTTGTAGACAGGAAAACTGAGATCCAGAGTAGGGAAGGGGCTTGCTCAAGATCACAGCCAGGTGGTGGCTAAGCTAAAATAATACCAGTATAGTGCAAAAGCAAAGGAACTTGGCTCTAATAGCTCCCTCTTTCTTTTACCTGCAGGTTGTGTGAAGGCGTGGGATCAGTCAACATCTGTAAGTTAGTTGTGGGGTGGGTGTGTGGTTGTGGGGGATGGCTTTCTTAGGTGTCAGTCTTCATATCAGGGTATATCTAACTGGGGATTGAACCTCTGTTTGGATGAGGGAGACCAGAGCTGAAGTCCCTGAGATATAGTCAAAATATTTGTCCCCAACATGGACCCATCTGGAATATCCATGAATATGATAAGTTCTGATCCCTCTAATTGGTTCTACAAAATAGCCTAAGCCCTTCTGTTACACATGGGTGACTCCTCATGTGGTCTCATGTGAAAAAAATGCTAGATTTATATTTTGATCATTTGGGGCCTCTGTAGGTAGCTTGATTTTTTTTCTGCTGTATATACCCTACCAGGCCAGGTACCTATTTCTGACCCATTTGTTTTGTCCACCTTTCCAGCAACCATATTTCTAGATGATTCATTTAGTGTGATCCATCAGGTTTTGCATGAATACATCTTAACTCCAGTCTGGTCCAAATAGAGTGAGGAGTCCAATTTGCATATCACATTCCTGTAAGAAGCAGATTGTAGTGGCTTTAGGTTTGCCTAAGACTTATGTTGCTGGTCCCTCAGAGCATGAAGAGAATTAATCACAGGTTATAAAAGATTCTGGGTCATACCATGTCTGGGATAGAAGAGACTTCTGACCTGGTGTTTCTGTCCACAGGTGTAAGCCGTTCCCACGGTGGCGTGGTCTGCGGGGACCTCAGTTCCACTGTCTCTCGTGGCCTAGGGGGCATGGCCATCGGTGGAGGTGCCTTGTGCTCCCCTTCTGTAGTGGGGGCCTGTTCAAGTGCAAGATCTATGCGGTTTGCATAGACGGGTGTGGGTCTCTGGATGGATTGGGTCTCTGGGGGGCACTGGGTTTCGAGGGGCAAGTCTTTTTTCTTATGGCCCAAATGTCAGTTTAATAACTTCCCATTTCAGGAGTATAGAAGTAATTCTCCAGTTTCCTTCTTATTAGAGTTGTGATTATTCATCAATTGTAAACCTTGGGTTTGGCAGGGAGGTAGGTAGAGGCATGCTTAGCATATGGGAGCGTCCTCATGCTCTGCCCTCAGATAAGAGGGGCTGCAGATGCTGCCTCACATGGTAGGGGTATTGGGGGATGTGGGACTAGGGTTACAGGGAAGCCTCTCACTTGATCTGAGAGATTGGATGTTCCCTGAGCCCCTTACTGGGCCTCTTATGTATTCATATATCAGAAATAAATGATTGGCTGAGGCTCATCAGCTGAGTGTTGATTCTTTGACATCGTGTTGTGTTTGCACATGAGTTTTCCACAGGACTCCTTATTTCTTCTTGTGTGCTTGATTAAATGTCAGTGGCAAAAGGCTATCTCCTGGGGCTGGGGATATAGCTCAGTTGGTAGAGTGCTTGTCTTGAATGCACAAGGCCCTGGGTTCAATCCCCAGCACCACACACACACACACACACACACACACACACACAAAAGCTGTCTCCTAGCAACCGAGTGCCAGCCTCCTTCATCGTTTCCTCACCCATCCAGAGTCCTGATTGTTTTGGTGCTTGTCAGGATATGTTCCAGGGATGACCATTCGCATCAGTATCCCTGTGGGTTCTGGGCTCCATCTAGACTATGACTCAACAACTCTAGGGATGAGCCCAGAAATCTGGATTTTTACATGCTCCTGGAATATTGCTGTGCCAATTAAAGTTTGAGGATCACTGGTTCATATGGGCAGAGGGAAGAAGAGGGTCAGATAATTCTGGTTATGGTGAGTTTTCCTCCGATTCTGCAGGCGAAATGAGTTACTCCCTCTGTGTTCTTCCTTTGACTTTGCTGAAAGGTCAGAGCCACAGCCTGGGCCACACACACCAGAATGGGGTGTGGGTAAGGGGAACCTCTGTTCATAAAGCATCTACTAAGCATCCGGCACATTATGTACATATTTCATTCATTCCTCACAGCAACAGTATTATTATTTTATTTTCTAGATAAGGAAATTAAGGCACAAAGAAGTGACTTTATTAAGGTCATACATCTGGTCCAGGATCCAAACCCCATTTAGGGAATGCGAAGTTCAGATACCTTTCCACTGAATTCTCTAATTGTTCCTGCAGGGTCAACATTCTGGCTCATCAGGTACTCCTGGGCAAGGGATTCTACCTGACTAGTTGTTGATACTTCAGGGATAAGAAATGAAAGGGGACACGGAGGGCATCTTGGAAGCTTTGTACAAACATCTCCCCATGGACTCTGTTCTCTAAGAATTCTGGATGGATCTTACAATGGGGCATTTAAGGCAGGCCTTTTGGGTAGGGACAATTCCTTTTTAGTAGGTAGTTCCCCGATGGCTTGGACTGAGGTCCAGGGTGAACTCTGCTTCTGGCCCATTCCTGAGCTGAGAGTCCCCAGGAAGTGTCACCTGGGGAAGACTGAACAGAGCCTCCTCTTGTCCAGGGTGACCAACACTGGATATGACGTGTTGATGAGAGGGATCTCAGGTGGGAAACTTTGTTTCTCTTCTTGTATTGGAAGAACTCTGCTTTTCTCTCCTTATTTAATTTGGAACCTATTTTTTTTTATTAGTTGCTCAAAGCATTACAATGATCTTGACATATCATACATTCGATTCAACTAGTATGGTTGTATGTATAAACGTGGCTGTATAACCAATGTGATCCTGCAATCTGTACATGTGGAAAAATAAGAACCTATTTTTTTTAAAGATTTATATAAACCTGGCTGGGTAGAAGATATTTTGCCACAAGAATACATATTCGATCTCAAGACAGAAAAACCTTTGAAAGTACTCCTGGGCAATGCAATCCCGCTGACATCTTTGGATCATGTCTCCAGGGTCCTCATTGATCAGGTTATTGTAAGAAAGTTCACAATTTCCCTCTGAAGGTTCTGACTGAGTCTGCTTAGATGAACTGACAATGGACAGGTTAATAAGAGAAAATTCATATGATTTATTAATGTGAAAATGTGTATGGGAGACACAGACAAAATTGAGACTCAAATAAAGGACCAGATGGTTGAAGCTTCAGCAGCATTTTGAGCTACAGAAAGAAATAGGGGCTTGAGGTTCCTGGGAGGTGGCAACAAGTTACGGGAAGGTGAAGGGAAAAAATGTACTTCAAACAGATGTTGTCGTATTACGTAGATAAAATGTCCTCGGTGCTCTCTCAGAGTTACTTTTAGAAGAATAGATGAAAAGTCTGTGCATTGGTGACTTTGAGTTTTTACTCTTTTCTGGGGGTTAATTTTTCCTGGTTATTTGATGAGAATTCTACTGAGGGGGCTTAAGAAAGCTGCATTTCTTTTGAAAGAAGTTTCCTCTGCCAGATAGGGGAGAAGAAGATGATCAAGAGACTGTGGGGGTGGGGGAGAAGGTCACAGAGACTTTGATTCCAAGTCTGTTTCTCAAGCTCAGCATGTCAGGGGGCGCTCTTTGGAGTGTTGTTTTCTGAGCCCTTCTCAGTGCTTTGACCCAAGAGGACTAGGGTCTTTCTCAGCAGGTTAGTGCTCCAATTTTCTTTTGCCTCCGGCACCAAGAGGGTCTCACAGGGGGCTATATCATGTTCTGAATCCCACCAGGTTTGGGGTAGGGGCAAAATCAGGTTGAAAGGGCCACTAGAGTAGCTCTGAGTCCCATAGAACACTTGCTGTCCTGGAGTGAAGGATCATGTGTTTCCTTTTTGATGATGGTGGTGGTGATGGTAGTGGTGATGGTGATGGTGATTGTGATGGTGGTGGTAGGGGTGATGGTAATAGTGGTGGTGATGGTGATGGTAGTGGCAATGGCAGTAATCGTCATGGACGGTGTGTATTTACCAATTTGTGCTTTGGGTGTTTCCTTCATTTTTAAAGTATAAGCTTATTCTTTGTGTGCTGCCCTCTCACCCACATCCCATGCAGGCGACGGAACTGGGGCTCCTCTTGGTGAAGTGGGCTGGCTGTAGAATAAAAGCTAAGAAAGAGAAGGCGGTGAAAAAGCCACAGGGCACAGAAAGTAATTTTTGAAAAGCAAGGGCAGGATGGCGAGAAGATCTTGGGGAGCAAGCTTCCACACTAGAAAGAGAGAGGGAGTCCACGCTTGCTTTATTTATATGGGGAAACATCAAGGTTTTCCATGGAATGTTGTTTGACAAAGGAAGGAGGTGGGCAGACAGTTCCCAATGGGTTACACCCAACTCCGGAGCTACAAGAGCTGTCTCTAGTAGAGTGAAGACAGAGACCTCATGCCTTGGGTGATCTGATGCACATGGGAGAGCTGGGATAGTTCCCAAGGGAAAAACCTAAGTCTCCATGGCTTGGTATGGAGTGAAGACCCCTCAAGTAGCTCACAGGTGGCTCCCCACATGGCCCCTACTCTATTCCATTTCTATTCCATTTCCTGACTGATCACTTTTCACCATCACTGCCCAGAAGCAGTGAATTACGGTGGACACATTGGAGATCTCACTCTCTTTTGCTTTTTTTTTTTTTTTTTTTGGTATTGGGGATTGAACCCAGGGATGCTCTACCACTGAGCCACATCCATAGACTTTTTTGTCTTGCTAAGTTGCTTAAAGTCTTAGCAGATAACTGAGGCTGGCCTCAAACTTGCAATCCTCCTGCCTCAGCCTTCTGAATTGCTGGGATTACAGATATGCACTACCACTCCTGAATGGATCTCTTGGTATTTGAACAAAGAAAAAATGCTCAGGCATTTCCAGGGGCACAAAAGTGTCTAGTGAGATTTGAGGAGGAGAAAAGTAGCACAAGGCAGTGTGAACTAAGCCTTCTTCCAATGCTGGTTCTTCCAGATAGATACCCATATCCAAGAACAGCAGAGCTTAGTGTTAATGTCCTAGTTGCTGTAATCTTCAATGAACAAAACACCCTCTAATGTCTTTGTTTCCAGAAAGCAGTAGTGATGTGAAGAGTCCAGATAAGGGATAATTCCTAGATGGTCATTTCCATGTCCATGTGGAACACACTTTGTAATTTCCTCAATAATGTGCTTAATTTGTGTTTCTCATGATGCTTGAGTTAGGTGAGTCCTAAAAAGTCACATTTCCTGAGATCTCAAAAATTGAAGCAAGCACCAATCCAAGACCCTGGGGCCAGGAGAAGGAGCCATCTTGGGAGTGTTGGTGAGGACAGCCAAGGCAGAGGGGAACTGAGATTTGGTGGGGGAGTGTTAGTGCTTTAGGAGGGAGATGACCAAGCCCAAATTTGTCTGTAGATTTGGAAGGGTTATAATCCATACTTTTCAAATATTTGGAAACTTTGTCTTTGGGGAAAACATTGAATATTTAAATAAGAATTGATTTCAGACAGAGATGAGATTTCCTCTGATGAAGATGTTAGCTTGGTTTGTGATGTTTCAAAGGAAAAGAGAGCCTAGGAAAGAGATCTAGACTCACTCCCACAGACAGTCCTTTACTGGGGCTGCTTCTCTTCTGACTTTTCCTTAATCTCTCAATGTCAGATCACTTGACTGCAAACATTTCATTTCTAATTAAACTTCAATCCTTAATTACTTGGATCGTTCCTGTCGCCTCCCTCAGGGAACAAAGCTTTTACAGGGAGAGAGATGCAGGAACCCCAGAGCCTGAACCCAGAAGAGTGCGCTCTGACTGAATCAGTTGCCTCATCTGTATACCAAGCATGTAAATGTATTAAAAAGCTTATTAACATCTTCCAGATCCATCAATTTAACTTTGTGTGGTTCTTTGTGTGTGTGTGTGTGTGTGTGTGTGTGTGTGTGTGTTGCTAAGGATTGAACCCAGGGCCTTATGCATGTGAGGCAAGCACTCTACCAACTGACCTATATCCCCAGCCCTCTATTTGAGTTTTTAGT